ATTACTTGTTTCTTTACATTGAAGAAATCTTTTAATTTAACTGAATTTCCGAGTGTTTTTTTTCTCACACTCGCATATTTTATATCAAACACTTGTGTTTGATTTATGTATTTCTACAATGAATTCTGAACTTCAGGTGTTATACCTCTAGCACTATTTTCACAGGCTGCAGGTGGGGGAGACCTATCATTGGATTTCTCTATAATTAACCTCCATGAGATTGATCATCATAGAGGTCAACCTCCTTCTCCTGAACTTGCTTCATTAATCCTCCTGAACCTGTTCAGGCCAGTGAAGATTTAATAGCCTTTTTATACCACCAGATTTTGGCGTGTCTTTCCCTACCCTTCTGCGGAATCAGCTAGGTTTAATAAGGCATTTTTTGACATGATTTCTTAGGTTTGTGATGTTTTATCCAATCCCCTGTTTTTCTATGATTCCTTATTACCTCCATGTTGGTTCATTTGTTGTCTTCGCCTCTCACTTTACGCATGTGGTACAAAATGATAAAATCCTATAACCTGAGCATATTTGAAAGGTGGACCTTTCTTTTTCAGGGGCAAAGTGTTGTAAGGATCTTCTGGGTTACAATGCATCCTTGTCCTGAGGTTATTTGCTGCATCTTTCTCTTAGGGATTTACATATGGCTCTTTCTTTCTTTGGCAGTATGTTTTAGATCATGTATCTGAGACTTTGTAATTTGTGTGTCAACACTCTACCCTTTTCTCATTGGTTGCACATTTGTCGCAGTCGGAGCCATGACAAGCATTATTCCTTTTGGTCTGTGGCTGTGAGACCTTATCATATCAACATCCTGGAGCTTCTTGATGTAAGTCATGTTTTGGTTAATTTTCTCCCTCTGGCTAGAAATGTTTTGGTAATGATCCATTCCAACTTTTCTTCAGTGGTTGCTTATCTCAATCATCAGGGTGGCACCCATTCTCGATTCCTATGTATTCATACGTTGGATCTTCTTTTTGGGCCCACATGCTTGATATTCATATAATTGTGTGTTATGTACCATGTGCTTTCACTCTTGTTGTAGATCGGATTGATGTCCAGACAAAATTTATGCAATGAAGTGGTCTCTCGATCATTTTGTTTTCCAGAGGCTTTGACATCAGTGGGGCACTCCTCACATTGAGGCTTTTGCTACATCCCTTAACCACAAATTGCCTTGGTTTTGGTGTCTGCTCTCTTGTCTTCTTGCTCTGGTTATTGATCTTTTTAGCCAGGATTGGACCAACACATTTTTCTATCCTCCCATTCCTCTTCTTCTCCAGATGATTTCAATCATCCTTGACACTCCATATTCAGTCCTTCTGATAGCTACTTCCTGGCTGTTTGTTGTGGTTTCTGCAGCTTCTCTAGCTACAACTTCGTCCTTCATTACCTCTTACTCTGACTCAGTCCCTTCTTCACTACTCTCAGTCACCAGTGTTTCATCCAGACCTTCCTGTCCTCCATTTTCATGCCTGGTTTTCCTCTGGTCATTGGTGAGGAGATCCGGCTTCTCTCAACGGTTATCTTCTTTTTTGGCTTGTTTCATTTGCCCTTTCTCCATGGAAGTTTCTCAATGCAAATGGAACATTTTCCATTATTGGTTTCTGGGTCCAGGGTTTTCTTCTGATCAACCCACTGTTCTTTGTCATGCAGATTTCTTCACCTGCCTTTTGGACCGGGGGTCTTCTGTCTCCTTGATCTTGGATTTTTGGGTGGCTCTATATCACACCTTTTGTTTTTCTTGATCCCACAGGTACTTTCATCTCCTTCACTTTACTTGTTGATGTGTTCCTTCCAGATTCTTCAACTGCCATGGTGGGCTGCCATTCCAATGGGGATATTAATGTGGCCTGCATTGCCTCACTTTGACTATGTTTGAACCACTCTCCCAGTGCTCCTTGTTTCACCTTCCCTTATATCTTTTTTTCTTCTTCTAATCGCCTGTAAACATTGGTGGTCTTTTTATTTGCCATTGATTTTTCACATACTCTTTATCCTTCCTTCCTTCTGTTTCACACCTTCATCCTCATCTTGCTCTTCTCTTTTATATTACCTGCACGGCTTCCTTCTGTGTTGTTCATTTCCACCATTTTCTTCTTTGGCAGCCATCCTCTGTTTATGATTTTTCTCTTTCCACCTTCACCAATTGGATTTGAATTTTACTTCAATTGACTTATTCCTCTTTATCTTCTTTCTCCTATACATTGTTCTGGGTGTCTTCTCATCCAATTTGACACCTTACCTTTTCATTAGTGTTTCATCTTCATCATCCCTTGAAGGTACTTCTTCAATTAGGCATGTGGACTACCCATAATATGTTCATCTCCCACTATTTGCATCAGAATTCAATGACACTTTGACTGGGTAAGTTATTTTTTCTTATTCTTCCTTTTCGGGGGCCTTTTTTTTTATTGTTGCTCATTATTTATTATATTTCCATGGCCAGAGATGGGGTGTTCCACAAGATCACTTGTAAGTTTATCCTCGCTAATGTATTTTAACAAAAGCTTTGAATGTACTGGACCATACTCATC